GGCAGGGATAGGGTGCTAGGGGCTGGCATTTTTTTTATCTCTCCTGCTCAAGGCTTTATTTTCTAGCAGGGTCTTATTTTCAGGGAAAGAGAGGAAAGAGAACTCTTAGAAAATTTGAATATTTCTCCTTTTTAGTAAATGGATCTTTGCTGAGCACGTGGATCCCTTCTACAGGATTACTATAAATTTGAGAAGTTTCAACATATACTTTGAATAATGGCAGAAAAGCCCAATTTTAAAAATGCGCTTTAGATGGGACTGCAGTTTACAGTTCATGACTTGAGTGTGCTTCCAGATTAGCAGGACGGTTAGAGCAGGTGCTCATGGCACACTTGAGCCACCCGTTTCTTCAGCCGCCACGGCTGCCCTTCTCCAGAAATCCCCGGCTATCCGGGAGGCACAGTGTATCGGGACTCTTCCCGGGCCCCTAAGAAGTCATCGCTGCTTCACTGCTGGCGGTTTTGATTTTCAAGCCAAGATTAAAGAGACTGATGAAACATCAGGTCTTTAATTTCCACGTGTTCTATTTCTCAGTGTTTTAACAGTTGTCTTAGTGGGTAACCTCAAGTAAATAAAAAATTTTGAAATGGCTCATCAAGTCATAATGTGAAGACAGGTCTTGTACTTCCACCTCAAGCCAGGTGTGGAAGACTAGATCTGGATTTCTTTTTTGGATTATTTTCAGCAATGTTGAGTTATATTTAAGCATTCAAGGTTTGGTTTGGTTAAGTTGGGTTTATCAAACTAAGTAGTTATTGTTGCCACAATAAACACAGCACAAGAACTGTTTTCACTTAGGGCTGTTTCTTGTTGTGCATCTTATGGACAACTCTTCTTCTAGCTGGTTTTGAGTATTTTCTTAATCTTGGTTAATAGTGTTTTCACAGTAAACTAGTAAAAGACAGTTAAGTTAGCTATCGGAAAGTGTTCCATATTTTGAACAAGAACAAACAGAACAGATTCAACTAAAGTAATCTCCAGTATGATATTGGGCAGAGTTCAAACAGGAAAGATCTTTTTCATTGCTTATTTAATTCAGAGGATGGTTTATTAAGGGGAGGTTGATGGCCGTAGAGTAACTGTCACTATTTATTAGATGCTCGAGGCTGGTATGTTCATAGAGGCCCTTCTAATTTAGGGACTCCATTTAGATATCAAAACAACCTTTTTCATCCAATCAGTTGATTTTTACAACAAAGACTGGGAGAAAGAACTTCAGCATTGATTTGGTGGTGTCAGGTATAAAATGCAAGTTTAAAACAATAGCTTTCTAGACTCAGATTAGGCAGAAAAAGGTGGGCCCTGTTAGACTGCTTTCAATTAAGATGCGACGATGACCAGATGATGTAAAAACAGTGCTTCCTACTCCACCAGCCACCTGGGCACCACCTCCCATCTCCCCTCTATACCCAATCATTCTCCTTCCCTCTGTCCCAGATGCCGCAGGCCTCCTTGCCCCAGTCTTTTGCATCCTAGATGTCTTCTGTCATCTCTTATGATGCCATCTAGTCCTTAATTTCCTCCTGCTTAGGTGACAATGGCCTGCTAACAGGCTTTCTGATTCTACTCTTACCACTCCCATTGCAGGCCAGCTCTTTCCCTCATCATTAAAGATGAACGCTACCCTCCCAGCTCCGGGAACCCTTCCCTGATCCACCAGCCTGGATGCTCCTGTAAGACTATGAAGAGTTCTCTGTTGCTGCTAATCACATTGCATTGTAGCTTGTTTATTCATTATGTATGTGAGCCTAAGTGTTACTTAAAAATTAAAAAAATTTCCCATGCCTATATCTAGTATCTTGAAAAAAAAATTTAAATTTGTACTTAAGAGTTTAAAAAAGGGAGAAGCAACAACTTTGCTTCAGTTGTGTTTCAGTTCTGGTGAGTGCACAGAAAACAGGGCCATGCTTTGAACAAAGTTCCTTCATACTGAGAACAAAGAAATGTCCTTTCTGTGTGAATGAGAATAGTGTGCTGAATATGAAAGTCATTTCGGACTGAATTCAAGGAGAGTATGTGGATGGTACTTTTGCTCAGTGTCTGAAGGACATTTATTGTCTTGCTGTTACAATTTTCTAGTCATGGAATTGTGACTACAAATCTGAAATCTTGATAAGAAAAGATAATGAAATTTGATTTCTGAATTAAATATTCTGGGAATCTACACAGAACAAAAATAAACTGAGTAAGAAAATAAAAATTACTCACCCAGGAAAGGATTTTTATGCTCATCAAGCACAGACACATGAACTAGCCATGGATAATCAAAATATTGTGTCTCCCTGTCAGAAGTGATTAGTTTAGGAATGGATGTGTTAGTCAAGCCCAGACAGTCATAGCAAATTCAGCACTTTAATTTTACAAGCTGGGAAGAGATGCGCCTTTTCCCCAGGGTCTGCTGAGAGATGGTTCTAGGCCTGGAGCAGCTGGCTGCCTTCCTGCCCTCGGGAAGGGAGGGACTGCCTGCAAACTGCAGCACAGGGGACAAGCGCAGAACCCAGAGAGATGGGCACTCATGGGTTAGTTGGGTTACACACTGGGAGCCTCCGGATCCAGCTGAGGCCAAAGCTAGGTTTACTCTCTGGGTGTGACCTTATAAACCTCTTTGTACGTAAGCTAGTTTGGGTTTGGTTTTCTATTGCAGGTGATCAGAAACATTTTGCTAAATACAATAATCTTAATCAAAACTCATGGTCAGAAAGGGGTAACTTCCGTGACCCTCAGCTTCCCACAGCCAGAGCTCCTGTCAGTGACTTTTCATGGATTGTGAGGCAACACTTAATGGCCTTCATTCATGCAGGAAATCCAGGGCAAGCAAGCTTTTGCTTTATTGTTTCTTTGATCAGTTGGTTCTAGCAGAATCCAGCTAGACTTCTTGCAGAAATCTCCATAGACTCTGGCTTTCCCTGGGCCTCTTGCTGCCATGCCTGCAAACAGCCTGCTGTGAGTAGTACTACTCTCTCTGACAACTGGCAAGTTCTTTGCTGCAGTTTTAAAGTGACACATCTCCTGATTTTCTCTCAATTGTTTTATTTTTTGTTCCAAACTCCCAGGATTAGTTTAATATGAAAAAGAATTTAGATTATTTAATCTTTCTGTGGCATGGTTTGAAATCCACAAATAAAAGACCTGCCTCACTGGTAATAATAATGCTTTGTAGTTATATCTAGAGTTTCTATGTTTACAATTTCATTTAATCTTTCCAATACTCTCTTGGGATAGATATTGCCTGAGGTTGTTTAAATTCTTAATTCTATGTTTTCATGTTTACAAATAGAAGAAACATGTTTTAATGCTTTCTGAAGAAACTGGGCATTTAAAATATTTAGTGAATGTCTAAGTGAAAAATTTTCTTACAGTAAATGAGACTGCCATTCATCCTCCAAATACTCCCTCTTGCTTAGAATGCACTTATCTCATTGTTCTTCTCTTTGAAGCAGTTCTGGATGTCTTCTTTCGTGAGCACTTATAAGGTATGAAAATATGGTAAGTGGAGGAAAGATAGACTCATAAAAACATTATAATGTGTCCTCATCCACCTTGGGCATCACATCTGGCACTGTATGATTTCTAATTTTTCATGGTCAAGATGACCATGAAATGTAAAATGTTTAAATCAATTCAGGACACTGAGGTAGCCATGACAGCGTCACTAGTGACACTCATGAAAAACAACTTCCAGAACTGCTTCAAAAAGAGGTAAGAATGATAACTGTGTTTAAAGAGACAGCGCAAATATTTTGAGGAGGGTTAATGGCAATGTGCCCTTCTCTGTAATAAATTTTTAAAAACGTTAAGCACTGCATTTTTAAAATCACATCTTGTACTTAGGAATCTGCAAATTTTGATGATTAGAACAATTTGTAGATGAAGATAAAAGTTTCAGAGTGCCCCCCAATAACTTTAATCATTATGCAAAAACAACTAAATGAACTTTAGGACTAGAACATAAAAAGTCTAAGTAGAACCATCACAATGATTTCTTAACTCTGTCATTGGTGTTGATCTCCCTTCTTTTTACAAGTTAGACCTTTATAATTTGCATTAATCAGCAGTGCAAGTTAGGGGAAGAAAACATTTTATTATGTAAAAACAAACTCAAAAAAATAATACTAAGCCTAAACACTGAAAAGGTATTTAGATGCCATTGAAGCTCTGCTACTACATAGTAGGAGTTACCAAGGCTGAGCAGTCAAGGAACAAGAAAACGCTCTTCACAGACAAGAACTCAGGAGGGAGGGTCCTGTCTGGAAAGCCACTTGGCAGCAGAAGCAAACTGAGGAGCACCGTGGCAAATTGCCTAGCTCCTAAGCCTTTCACATCACTTTCCACAGCTCCTGAAATTCCTCTTTGTATCACTCTTGGTTTTGGATCTTGGAGGGTATTTAGCCCCAGAGCCCCTAAAGCCATAGCTTAAGAGCACCAGGAGACAGCAGGTAGAGCTTTGCTTTACAGGACGGGATGAAGCTAAATAGCCTGCAAACAGGGAATCAGGAGGCAGAATGCTGCAGAAGGTGGGGAAAGATGGTCACAGTGACAGCTGAAGGGTTCAAGCTTACTTCACTGTCTGCTTAGATCAACCTCAGGGACAATCAGTTTTTCTGCAAAAGCTGCACAAAAATTCCAAAAAAGTTTTTCCTCTTTCTACAGTTTTTCTGGAGGTTGGGAGAAAGTTTATTACTTTCTAAATTTGCCTATACTCTCTTCTTTAAGTTATTTAGAAACTGTAGAATCTGCCTTCCACATTCTTAAACTTCTTCCCATGCATGTGTTTCTCCAAAGTCAGACACATTACTTGATCTAATAAAATTATTCCAGAGCTGTGCATAAGAGACATCAGGACTTAATCCATTTCTTTAAGACTTATAGTACATATTGTTATGCTAAAACCACTGAATATGGTCTGACTTATATACTATACACAGAGAAAAAGCCCACCCCCAGAAAAAAGGTAGACAGTGATTATTTGCTAAATATTGAAGCTTCAAAATAATACTTACCCCATTTGGGTTGTTGATCCCAGAAATGAGGGTATACAGTAATCAGCAGCTGCCAGTGTATATGGTGGTCGGGCGGCAGAATCATCCCAGTAAATGTCCTTTTTCATTTTAGGTAAGCTCATGTGCATCTCATCCACAGCTAAAAGAGAGACCTAAAATCATCGTCATATTGTTAGAATAGCTCTGATGTGAATTATCCAAAAGAGAAGAATTTCCATTAGGTAGACAGGAGTTGGAGAGTGTCAGGATACAATCTAAATGCGTAATTATACCAGTAAATGTCTACAGTACATACTTGCTACAACTGGGTCTGCTGTGGAGCTGCACCTATTCACTGCTCAGGAGACCTTGACAAAGGTGCAAGTGGGGCTGGCACGCTGCCCACACCCCATGCATCAAGCCACATCCCCCCAGTGTGGGCCTGCATCTCACCTGGAGGCAGGTGAGGCCCCTTTTTCTTCTGTACTCACAGTTACAGTATTGTCTTAGTGGCTACCCTGACAGCAACCACTTAACCCCAGGACAGGAAGGCGAAGATTCTCATTATTTCAACCTGTTAATCCCATAAACACATTAATCACTTCATGTATGCCCTGGTTTCTTATGTATTTAAAAAAGCACATCATCAAGCCCATACTAGTTGAATCCACAGTGATCTTTTCTCTTGGCTTTGCCAAAGCAACACAGGAATAAATTATGAATTCTTTCAGATTCTAGTTTTGACAAAGAGTCATCAAGGCAGTATGCTTCTTCCCTTATAGACTGACAATGTGATATACAGTGAAATGTTTGACAGTCTTACCTAGAGGGAAAATTCCTCTATGCCTTGGGAAGTTCAATGGGATAGTGTTTTGGGTAAAGTGGTTATATTTCAGACCTATTTGAGAAACATTCCAGTGTGGCCCAGGCCCAGTGTGGACATCTGATTGCTATAATCTGTGTGCTGTTAGTTAGAAATTCACATCAGATTATATCTGGAGCCATTTTATGTCATATAAACCTCTCTGGGTGGCAACATAAAGCAGATAAAATAATGAGCTAAAATATTGCAGTGTCCTAGAAGGAAGAGACCAAGTAAAGCTAATGGACAAACTTAAAGACCAAATTGGCTTGCAATTCTATTTAAATTTTATGGAAACTGGGATCCAAGACATGTGAGCCTCCAAGAAGACAACAAACATGCTACAGAGGCCAACCCTCTTTCATTTGCAGCTAAAAGCTCTGATGACCTGGGCCTATAAGCCATACTTTGTTCAGATGGGAAACATCACAAATGGTTTACTGCTAATACTTGTAAAGGAAAGAAAATTTCCTCTAACCTGCAAATTTCTATCAATGCACCAGTTAGTTTCAAAGTCATCATCATCTTCTCCAAAAGGGTTGATGAGTTGCTCAGCTACCTGCAGTTGAGAATACAAAATAAATTGTCATGCTGACAGTAAGGCTAAACAGAGATTGAAGATGACTGTGGTTTTATTCTCATTTTTGTGTGGCACTTTCACAATATGAAGACTAGAGGAGAGTGTGCTGTTCTATAGGCTGATACTTATTAGCAAACGAGTCTAGATTCTTTTACCATAAATGATATTCCGATGATAAGAAAAGAATAAAGGATTCAGTGTTATCCAGTTTAGTTTTGTTGGGAAAAGTTCAGGTAGCTTCTTACCACACACATTTGTATTTTAAAATGTTTTACATATTTTCTCATATTTGGTTAATGGTAGATGATCTTACTATGTTCTTGAATCAAATAGTCTTCTTCTTTTTGTTTTTGGTACCGGGGATCGAACTCATGACCTAGCACTTGACAGGCAGGTGCTTATGCCACTGAGCAAAATCTTTAGCTTCTAAATAATCTTCTTGGTGAGAGCTTTATATGTTAACCTGTTATCCTGACATTCACCATTTTGAATAATTTTCTTTAATTTTTATTATCTCTATTTCTGTGTTTATGTGTGTGTTTGTTCACACTTGAGAGAGAGATTTTACATTCGATCTAGATGGGAAAAAAGTTTGTATAGAACAGATTTGTATAGAATAAAGATATCATTTAAATGGTTCCCAAATTATAGATTCTGAGATCATTTGGTAGAAAGTCTACCCACTTAGCTTTTAGAATTTAAGTCAAATTTCTTAAAGAAGTCATTTTCAACCTTGGCTGTAGTTAAAAGTCACTTAGGGAGCTTTAGAAAAAACTACCAAAACCCAGATACCTAGGCCCCTCCTGCAGCAGCTCTGCTGTTATCTGTGGAAGCTGAGCCATGCATGGGTTATTAGGTGAAGGTTTCAGCAGATTTTAAAGTGTATCCTGAATTGTGAGCCACTGAGAGAGATGGTACCTCTCTGCTTGTTCTAAGGAACAGCCCCAGGCAGGGCTGCGCCTCACAGCAGTAAGTCCCAGTGGGGAAACTGTGCAGAGTCCTTTATTGTGAGTTGAAAGAATTTACTTTTTTTTTTTTTTTGCCTGATATTTTGCTTAAATTAAATGGGCTACTAGTTAGGTCCTGAAAATCTTTTTGTTATATCTAAATTTTCACTTTTATGATTATGAGTACTACATATATTGTTATAGTCTATTCTCAATTATTAAAATGACACCTATATTTGTAAATTGACAATCTCACAAAGATTATGAAGCAAGTAACCTAGTAGACTGTTCAGAAAGTCAAGATGGTTCTGCCACACTTTGAAAAGATTTGTAAATATCTGAGCTGTCAAGATAGAATAGCTCTTTAAAACTGTTTACCTTTTAAAATATTTTATAATGGGAAAAGATATTAATATTTTAAAAACATACTTGAAAGGATCAATGAACTGTAACTAACTTCTTTACATGATGGCTTATCAGCTTTTTTTTTTTTTTGACTAAGCACCTTACATGGACACAGAGTAAAGAATTAAAAGTTTTACACAACTCAGAGGAGGGGGGGTAATTCGGGCCAATTGTGGTAATATTATTTTTATAAAGATAAGTATACTTTTTTCTGTAGTGGGAAATGGGAGTCATTCATCTGTCCTACTCTATGTTACTCTTGAGTAAAAATAATTAGACATTATTGTCATCTTGTAAAAAATGTTTTTGTCTTTTGTAAAGGACATGCCTTTAGTCTTTGGAGTAGAACTGAAAATGCCAGCATACTTACATTTCCCGATGAAGTTTCGAGCCAATGAAAGACAAGGCTTCTGAAACGAAAATGGTGCCTCAACCTGCAGCCAAGACAGCCCGCGGCTGTTTACAAGGCCTCATACTTAAATACTTCATTTTGCTAGTCCTTTTCACACTGTTATTAGGTTTCAGGTACTAAAGCCATGGTCTTTAATCTTTTTCGCCACTACATATGTCCCTTCTAGATGTTTACAGAAGTAATGGAAAAGTCAGGGTTCTAATATTCATACAAATGCAGCTGGGGTTGAGGTTGAGAGAGGAGTGGAGAGATGGTGGCAGTGTTGAGAAGCACAATTCTGATAACTGGATAAGCTGTTCTCAGTGCACTGGCAAACTAAATGCCACCATGAATACTGGCAGTTTTGGTGTTGATTTTCATGGTTGTTTTCCCTCTAAGTTTCAGTTCTTGTTTTGAAAATGGGATTCATTTAACACAGTGGGACAGGAGTAAGATTTCAGAGTATTGCAAGTCATTAGTGTTGTTCTAATTTGCTTACAGAATGTACTGTTTCAGACTGCGGCAATACACTTTGACTACATCTGTCATTTTAATCCTTGATGAAAAAGAAATCACATTTCTGAGGCTGCTTGTTAAATCTACCTTTGCTCACTCATGAGTGAGTTGCTAAAAACTCAGTAAGAATCGGCACAGAGAATTTGGAACACAATAGGTTACAGAGTGGGTATCAGGCAGTGAGACTGTTGGCTACCTTCAGCCAGCCTGCATAGAAGAAGAACTGCAGGAGAGTAAAGACTGGAATGTAAAGATCTAAGTCATGTCCTGCGTAGCCTTTGGTGGGATCCAAAAACTGGCGTCCAATGAGGCATGCAACGAAGAAGGTGTACACAGCAAGAGTGACAACCTAGAACAGAGAGACACTGGAATGAGTGGACAGTGCTGCTGCCCCTAGGCAGTATCAAGGTGGGCAAGCAGAAGGAAAGTATCACATGGGAGGCCTCTGATACCTGAGTGTAAACCAGCGGGATTCCAACCCAGTCATAACCGAATAAGAGGCTGCACCAAGAGCGGTATCGATTCATTTCCTGCGCCAGAAACAGGCAAAATAGGATTTATTGAAATGATGGGCTTGGTACTAACCATTGACTGGATTCATGCAATGTCTAAAATGATGAGAGAGATTTTGTAATCTAGAAAACTGGCTCCCAAGGCTACTACAAAAAAAGAAGTTCTAAAATTGACATGCAATGAGCCTCTTTGAACAGGGTGCAAGAAGGGTGAGGACATCTGAACATGCATACAATATTTTTAAAATATAAAGAGTGGGCATTATAGAAATAGTCCTTATTCTAGAGAATCCAAAATTTCCAACACATACATCAACAAAAGATGGTGATATGACGGCAGTGGTTAATATTTGAAAAGGAATTTTCTAGGTATTTTAGTAGAAAATTTTGGAGAGTGTTTATTTCTCTTTTAAAAACATGCTCACTACAGATCTTAAGAAAGAGATGTAGATAGATACACCTTAAACTTCTCCCCACAACAAATAAGGACTTTACTCATATTGATAGAAAATTTTTCTCTGCTTGGAGCAGAAGGACCAACATTTATTGATTTATTGTCTCTTTTGAATGCAATTATTATCTAAGACTGAGATGAAAAATTCACCTTAATTTGGGTGTTGTTTGAAAACCAGTTAGCCTTTTAGTCTAACCGGCAGGACACTGCACGGCACAAATATATGCAGCTCTCTTGTGCATTTTTGTTTGTTAGATGGAGTCAACTCTCTCTCTCTCTCTCTCTCTCTCTCTCTCTCTCTCTCTCTCTCTCTCTCTCTCTTTCTCTTCTCTTTTTTTAGTGCCAGGGATGAAACTCAGGGCATCACACATGCCACGCAAGTGTTCTACCATTGAGTTGCACCCTCAGTTCCAATTAGCTTCTTTGTTTAGGAACAACACTCTTGTTCACTGAGGTACCTGAAATGGTGACCTACACTTGGGATATTCCAGTTTTTGGGAAATGGCTGAGGAGCTTTCTCTTCTGTGCAGATTTTATTTTAGAATTCTGAATCCAGGGATGAAAACTATTGTGTGTAGGCATTGTGTCCCTCAGAGCTCTTGCAGCCCATGGTTAATCAATTGAGGAACACTATTTGCAGAGCCAGTCAAAGCATTCCATATAAAGCATAGCTTCCAAGCAACTACCACCAAGCAATCTGAGTTCAACCCGTGCATTTTGTGTTCTGCATGTTGTGGGTTCTGATACTAGCTTGATCTTTTTGTTACTTTGGAACCAGAATGAACAAAACAGACTATTGCTGGCCAGATCTATTATATCCAGGTCCTTTCTGGGACGTAGTTAACATCTGTTACCGATGATGTGTGATATACTTACAGTCATCAGGGACTGTAAATCAACACTGTCTCTGATTCTACCTTCATCTCGGGCTTTAGTTGCAAGATTTCCAAACCAGATGAATGGAACCCAATATTTCAGATGAGGAGATTTGTGATGGTCAAATAATTTCCTTTCATCCGCTGTCATAAAACCTTAAGGAAAATAAAAACAGCTAGATTATATAAACTCATCTTAGCACTGATATATTACCATATTTTCAGTCTACTATGGAAGCAAATGGAAGAATACTAAAGGAATAGAAAAGTTCCTGTCTCAAGCAGTTTATCCCCAGTTTCTGATTCAGTCAGATTAGAGTGAATTCAGATATCAGTATTCTTTTGAATCCAAATGTGTGATTTAATGGAACTGGATCCTGGCAGTTGCATATTTACTGAACTCTGTGGGAAATTCTGACCTACAGCAATGTTTGAAAAAAACAAAATAGTCCTAACCAATGAAGGTTTTATATTCAGTATTTAAAATAAACAGAGAAACTATTGCAAAGTCAATATTTACCAATGGAAGTCTAGTTAAGATTACACTCAGGTTATTATGCTCAGAGGAGTTCTGCTCATTGCCTGGAAAATGGTACCTCTGTGGAGGTTAAAAAAATAAAAATACAAAATCCTGGTAATTAATTCACTTTTTGCTTCTTAGTACAACTTAGATTTGTTGTATGAGGTAGACCATATGGTATTTTTTTCTTTTTTCAACAAAGACTTGCAGGATGTGGTGTGATTAAGTGTTACTTCAAGTATTAATAGAAAAATAATTTAGAGAGAAAATAGAAGATAGAGGATAAGAAACAGGTAGACTTGTGGAGATGAGAGGTAGACTTTGTGGGGGTAGATGAGTCAAATGATTCAGATGTGTTGTGTATTTGTGCCAATTTCCCAAGATGAATGCAATTATCATGTATTACAAACATATACAGATAAAAATATAGAAAAAGGAGAAGTTAACAGATGCATTCAACCTGCCTTGGCTTTATGTCTAAAAACTTGCTGCAGCTGTTCTTAAACTGGAAGTCTATTAAAAGTCATTCCATATCAATTGTCTAATAGTTACAGTCTTAGGATTTATAGTGTAATTTCCAAAAGTGATTCCACTTATGTATTGGCTGTGATCTCTGTAATTGGATCAAAGAATAACTTTGTCTCTAGTTATTTTTTATTCAGGAGCATAGATCAAACTGCTAGCAAATCCATTCTTGGTTTCTAAGTAGATAGAAAATACACAGAGTGAAGGCTTATTTACTGTAACACTAATGCAAGAGTTAGGCCTCCATGTAGGCCATCGTGCCCCACCCGCCCTGGGCACTGATGATTGAACCCAGGGCCTCATAAATGCTGGGCAAGTACTCTGTCACTGAGCTGCATCTGCATCCTCCAATGAATTTTATTTTGAGAGAGAGTCTCACTAAGTTACTCAGGCAGACCTTGAATTTATAGTCCTCCTGCCTCAGCTTCTTGTGCAGCTGAGATTATAGGTGTGTACTGCTTTGCCTGGCTAGGACATCTATTGATTGGACCAACCAGTAGATGGAAGAAAGCTGAGAAGTTTTCATCTTGAATTCATTGAAAGATTTCTAGTTGCTGTGAAATATGGATGATGGATCAGATATCAATCTATTCTCTAGGAGTATGTAGGCGAATAACTTCTGTTATTCCCTGCAGGGTCATATATTTTATCTAAAGTAACTTCATCATTGGAAATAAATTACATGGTTATTGGAAAGAAAATGCCTAGATTGTTGGCCAAATCCATTCAAAGAACATTTTTCATGAAATAGAATGTCCTCATCAGCACTTCAAGTAATAGTAACCCGAGATCAATGCTTTTTTCAGGATTGGGTCATTAAGTTAGCTTTAAGACTATGTTAATTACAGTTATTGATATACTACTGTATGATAGTGCCATCAGTTGGCTGGTGTCCCACCAACCTGTCTTCTTTGAATGTCTGTCTTGATGTTATGCTCCTTTAGGTCCTATCCATACCATGACTAGCATGGCTATTTTGTCTGGCCATTGCGTACGCCTAGAATTTTTCATGCCATCTTTTGTCTTTTTGGCTGGCTCAGCAATTTTCATATTGCTTATCCCCCAAAATATCTTCTTTACTATTTCTAATCAGAGTAAAGCATCTATATCTGTCAATTCAAATATACATTTGCATTGACTTGCAACTTGAGTTATGGTTTGGTGGAGTAGGATCTGCTACTTGAAGGCAAAATTTTATTGCCCTCAAGGCAAAGGATGAATTAATTCTATTGACAAACACATTCCGGTCATCATAGATTATGTCTTCTGCATGGTTGCCCTATTTTTTTCTTGGTTGAAGCTGAGGTAGGTGTTTTTTGCCTTTCAAGCATAGAGTTAAGTGAAGCTCTATTTGCAGGACTAAAAGGTCTGCATCCCCAAATTTGAAGGCAGAATGAATTTAATGCCCGTTCTTTCTGAAAAAGAAAGTTGTGCATTCAGCATCTGAACCCTTCTTGGAGGGATGACTTTTTCAGGAAGCCTGCAGTGTGCTTGCCTCATTTTCACCTCTGTGTTTTCTAAATGCACACAACAAAGCCGCCCTTCAACTAAAGCTGTCATTTAAATATAATGGGAGGGGCTTAGACATCCCTGACAACTGGAAAAATCAAGGAGAGGCAAAAGGAGATGGACAGAGGGATGGAAGGAGTCACATTATGACACATTATGACAGCATTATACAAATGTGCAAATGGCCTAGAATTTCATTTGCCCTGAATGCACAGATCTGAGGCAATTTGCAGATAAAATTGGAGAGATCCATTGATATTCCCGGGGCAGTGGTCTCTAAACTTTGCTGCACATCAGATTGGTATTGTAACCCAATATCTGAGGGTGACAGACAGACACCAGGATTTTCAAACTATTTCCACCAAGTGATTCCAATGTGTGGCAGAGATTGTAAGAAACTGGCCTCGTCTTGGATATTTCAAAATTCATAGTTTGAGCCAAACATCCTGCAGTGCTTCTGGGGAGCTTGTTTAAAGGTGTGTTCCTTGCCTTTTTTTTTTTTTTTTTGTCTTTTTCATTTTTATCAGTACCAAGGATCGAACTCATGACTGCCTGCTTGCAAGGCAGGTACTTATGCCTCTGAGCTAAATCCCCAGCCCTGTTCCTTGCTTCTTAAACCTCAGTGTCTATGATTTCTTAGGCTCTCTGGGAACCTATCCTTGATAATTCAGTATTTAAGATCTACAGTCATACTTTCAGAAACATCAAGATGGACAGGTTTAAATTCATGAAACAGAACTGTGGGGAAGCTTCAAACACTGGAGACTGTCTATCTGTGGCATTAATTCAAGGATACTAGTACTGCTTTGCACTCTCCTGTGCAGAGCAAGTACACATAGGTGAATCAAGTTTCACTCACAAGATGACATTCTGTCTGTTCCGGGCTCATCATGTGAGACTACAGGGGTAACTGACTCAGCCTCTGAAAGTTCAGCCAACAGGAAAAGCTGGCACAGCTGTGCATTACACTGTCTCCTTGGCCATTTCTCCTGTAACACAGGACAGTTGGAGATTTTGAGGCTAAGGAGCCTCAGAGCCATGAGAGGCATCAGGAAAAGTGATGGCAGACCTCAGGGCAAAAATGTGATACAGAATTGATTTTATATAGGACAATCATCAACAGGACACTCTGTCTATGTCGGAAGTTCAAATAGGGTTCACTTTCTAGCCAGTACGTCTAAAGTCAGAACTTGTAACTTTTTTCTGTGCTTCTAAAGCCAGCCACTTGACAGCTGGGGATTAGTTGGCTGCATTGATGTCTACTAACTGTAAGAGTTACTGAAGTCCAATGATGCCTCATCACTCCCTTTAGTTATAGAATAAGTTCATGAAACTTCATGTTAAGATTACCAAAGGACACATTGGTGAGCAAACCCAGCCTGGTAATCAGTGCCATGCGTGGACCCACGCCAGACTGGAAACAACCAGACCCTAGCCCCTTTCACTGGCAAACCAGAAAACAAGAAGTACCATCCCACAGCCCCCTCCCCCTACACACACACAGCACACTGTAAGTGACTGACTTATCTGGAGAAACACTGGCTGTGATAGTAGCTATCAAGGTGAAATGTAATTGGATGCCTGTGGTGCTTTGGTGTTTCATTAACATTGCAGATCTAGGGCCAGTGGTCTGATCATGGGTTCAGAGGATAGTGGTACACAGTGTAGCATTGGTGGGGGGGGGGGGCTCCTTCTGAGGGCTGTAGCCATTGCTGACTCCCTATAGTTGTATTTTGGAAGTCCTATATCATTTCCATTGTTTGGTTGGCTTGGGTTTTATTCTCTTTTGTTTTGTTCAATTATGTCAAATTGGATGGCAGAGCAGCTATTTCAAAGACAGCAAGATATATTATGGCAGCAGTTTTGGATTTACTATTGGTTTATTTTGAAGTCCTTTATTTCATTCATTGTTTTGTATTTTGGTTTCTATTCTATTTGATTTTTACTATGTCTGAAGTTATCTGCAGCTGTTTTGAAGATATTAAAGGGCATTACAGTAACTATTGTTGATTTTGTAATTTTTTAGTCCTTTATCTCTTACACTGGTTTGTTTTGATTGGTTTTATTCTGTTTTATCCTCTTTAAAATTGAAAAAAAAAGATTATCAGAGTTTTGGAAATGACCCAAATATTCATGAACTGAAGAATAGATAAAAAAAAAAGATGCGGTATTTTTATACTCAGCTATAAAGAAAGATAAACTGGAGACCTTATAGATAAATGGATACAACTAGAGACCATATTTGGAAGTGAAATAACTCAGACTGTCATGTGTAAACATTGTATTGTCTCCCTAGTGTAAGAAACTGAAAGAGTAAATAAGGACCAAAATCTGCAATAGACATTGTGAAAGGGAAAGAAACTGCTCAGAGGGAAAGAACAACTGGGATGGGGGAAAAAGGAAGAAGGGAAAAGAAAAAAATATACAGTAGCTAATATAATTTTATTACTAATTTCTTTTAGTTCATTGAAATGAGTGGTTGGGCTTATATTGTCTGATCAATTTTGCATGCCCATATGTAACCTTGTAATCTGAACAACTACTTGGAAGATAACAATATTTAGTACATTAACCATTATTAATTTCCCATTATCTTGTCATGAAATTCTCTATCACTGTTTTCATTGTTTTTTTCTCTTAAAAAAAAAAAGATTACCAGGGTTTAAGCAACCCTGTAAAGGGTGTTTTATCCCTAAATTTACTGTCTTCTAGCCACTCTTATGAGTTGTTGAGTACAAAAGGAAACTATTTACTCTAAAGAGATAGAAATGTGACGTAGAGATATGAAGTTTAGCTTTAAATATATTTAAATATATTTGTGCTTGTCTCTTAAAACACTGTGTGATAAGATTTATAGTGATTTTTACTGATTCTTGAGGACAGGGATTATACTCATTCTTGTTTATACTGGTAGTTGTATTTGTTTAGTGGAGCAAATGAATAATACACCTAGCATTGCTTTGTTAATATTTCTTTTAGAAGGATATAAATGTGCATATTATGTACATATATGTGTATATATAATACTGATTTTCTATTATCTTTGTGATTCTGGTAAGTAATTATGAAGAGAATTTTTTTCTCTTGATGCCTATGAAATACTAGAAAAGATGATTTCATTCAGACTGATATTGTAATACAAGAATGTAACTAAGATCATCCTTTGAATTAGCAAAGAACTAGAATTGTGCATTTGATTTGACTTTGAACAAGTGACTTTTTCTAGGGCATTCAGATGACTAGAATTTTTACAGCAATTTCTCTGATAGGCAAAATAACAGAGACTATGTTGCAATCCCTTTGATAAGTAAACTGGAAACACAGTAGGGGCTTTTTTTTTTAGCATAACAGACATCATTTTAAATTCAATTGTTATTTTTATTTTGATATAAGTAGAAAAAATTTTTACTTTTGAGCAATTGAGCCAGTAACATCAGAATCATACATATATGACAGTGTGTGTTGTTCTATTTTTACTTATCACAGTAATGTAACTTGACTGCTGACGTGAAAACAAGGGGAGTTTGGGGACTAGCGGCTTGGCTCGTCCTCCTCCCATCAAGGAACTACAGGATGCTTTATGAGGTCCTGCAGGTCTTCATTCTCCCAGCCCTCTCCCTTCCGTCCTCCTGGCCAGCACTGAATCTATCCAGGCACGAGCCTTCTTGGAAGCAGGAGGGAGAAGAGGGTGGAGAGATATTCAACTGCTTTAAGCCATTGTTTGCCTGAGTATGATCCCGTGACCGTCTGTCTCGTCAGTGGAATTTATTAAATATACTGTTTCCTGGACTCCATTGCTGACCTCCTGAATCAGAATCTCTAAGAGCAGCATCTGGAGATCTGTATTTTTTAGTTTTATTGACTGACTGTAACAATATCTACTGTTCACTGAAGTTTGTGAACATCTACTTTTCCTGACAGGTGATTTTGTGTAAAGGAATCAAATGACAAGGTACTTTCCGCACCACCCTTACCCGATGGAATTTACCAGTTCTCTGCTCTCAAGCAGGAGCAGGTGTCCTGTCCATGGACTCAAAGGATCTGCCAAACAGTTTCTGCTATCCCTAAATTCCCTATTCTTCCCAGAAACCCACACAGGCAAAGAGCAGCCAGGGAGTGATGGAGGCAAATGTCCAGCTGGAAGAACTTGGAAACAGACTCAGTGTGCAGACTCTGAGTCAGCCCTCTCTGTGAAGAAGAATCAGGAAGTCTGGTGAGTCAGTGCTGCCCTGAACAGAAGGAGCAGGTCCTGGAGCAGCTGGAAAGGACCCGGCCTCCGATGCGTCACTCCTATTTAGAGGATAGTGGCTTGGAACCTCTGCTCTGCTGGTGAACTCTCAAAACTTAAATGTTTGTGGATACAAACTGTGCCCACTACTCTATTCCTGCATTTTGAGAAAACACCAGGAATTAAAGAAAGTGCTGAGACCAGGCACGGTAGCACATGCCTGTAACCCCAGCACCTGAGAGGCTGAGGCAGAAGGACTATTGCGAGTTCAAGACCAGCTTGTGCTATTAGAGGGAGTTCAAGGCCAGCCTGAACTACATAGTGAAACCCTGTCTCAGAAAGAAAGAAAGAAAGAAAGAAAGAAAGAAAGAAAGAAAGAAAGAAAGAAAGAAAGAAAGAAAGGAAGGAAGGAAGGAAGAAAGAAAGAAAGAAAGAACACTGTGGCCTTTTTACATAGGTAACTAGAGATGGTCTCACAGTGCACTTGGAAAGGCTTGGGCCTCATTAGATTGCCCCCAGTGCTCTTCCAAGTCCAAACAAACCAACTGAAAATTTTGTCAGAACAATGCTGTTTATGTCTAAGTGATTCTAATTCAACTCCTCTGTCCAGAATGCTGTCTAAAGCCACCCTTAATAATTCTGGTGAAATTAAAGTCTATTCTTTCTTAATTGTTGCTACTTGTTGTTAGTAATGAGTTAGTGGTTGCCAAAGCTATTACTCCAAGGACTTGAAAAAGTAAATATCCCAGTAGTGACACATGTCCGTAATCTCAGCACTGTGGAAGGCAGAGGTAGGAAGAGTCCAAGTTTGATCTCAGCCTGGAGAATTCAGCAACTGAGACCAAATAAAGACAAAAATGGGCTGCGGATATAGTTCAGTGCAAAATTTTTGGGTTCAATCCCCAATACTGCAACAAGCACCCATAAAAGATCCAAACTTCACACTGTACACAGAAAGACATGGAAGCAAATTCCAATGCAGTGCCTGGGCCACATCCAGATTCTGATACAGCAGACCTGGAGTGGGGTCCAGGAATATGCATTTAAATTAAGTAGCTCAAGTTAGTCAGATGGAGACACATGTGGGTCTGTGGATCACATCTTAGAGACACACGAGTTTAAATTCATGTCTGGGAGTAACAGTTCACTTCCAGATTCCCTTGCAGTGTCGGGGAATTGGTGGTTTGGAGACAGAGGCATTCCAATATCCAGATGCCTCTGGAAGAGAAAAAGCCTGAATGTAAGCGCATGCAGACATCTGCACGAGTTTGATAAGGAAGAGGTCTCTACATAATGAAAAACATACTCAAGGGAAATGAAATCGTATCACTCTGTCTCTCTCCCTTTCTGTTTGCTCCTCAGACTGACGTCAGGTCAGCCCTCTGCACTCACGTTGGACCAAAGGCCCCCAAGGAGAGGGTGTTCCTCCCCCCTCTCCTCCCCATGTGCTTTTACTATGGAGGGGACACTAGGAGGGTATGTTTGGCTCTGAGAACTGGGCCTGGTATCGGACTCCTGTCAGAACGTGCTCTCTTCATTCCAAGGATGTGTCAGAACCAGAGTAAACCACCTCCATTCATCTAACTAAGCTTCAGTTCTCACTCGTCAGTTTGGATGCATCACATCTTTCTGTTTGTTTTTTGGTCTTTCTTTATGATAATTCTTAAAATATTCTATTTTTAGATAGTAAAGTAAGAAAATTAAGTTGTTAGGTAGCATTTTCAGCTTGGTTACCCCGAAGCAGCATTCTACTTTTAAATTTAGAGGACAGATAGCAGTTAATGTTTGTGTTGTTTCTCCATTGTGATACACCTGTGCCCTTGCCAGGCCATTCATAGCCTCTGCCTGAATCCGTAAGCAACGGGATCCTTTAACCGCAAGACTCTCTACAGACCCCCAACCACAGCATCCACATCACGCCTGCCTTATTTTCACTCTGACTTTCACAATTTCTTGATCAAAGCACATCAAGGAAATTGGGGTGTCATATTCACAATGAATCTTCTAAAGTGATCAAAGTGCTGTATTATGCTGGTGTTTGAGATGATTTCTAAGTAGGAAGAAATCATATAGCACTTACCATGCACTGTTCTGAATTATTTTGCAAATATTAACTTACTCAATTTTCATAGTAAGCCTATTAGATGTATAGGGTAGGTGCTGTTGTAAGTGACTATAAGATCATTTTATGGATGAGGAAAATGAAGTTACGTAACTCACAGGAGGTCAGGTAGCAAAGTAAACATTAAAAGATTCAAACCCTCAGTGGTTTTAGTTATTCTCTATGTACTCATGGAAGAAGAAAAAGCAGACAACAAAAAAGCCACAGAAAACTCCAAAAACAAGCAAATTTTTTTTTAACAACAACAATTAAAAAACTATTTTCAAGGACATTTCAGAAAAAGAAACTGAAGACTCCTATCTAATTTGAAACTATATTCAATAGAAAGGCAAAAATCATCTAATGGTTCTCATACTATGCATATGTGTAAAGAGGTATCTCATTTAATCCTCACTCTGCTAAAGGCTTCTTTGCTAAATATTTACATACCAAAGAGAACCATCGTTCAGCCATAGTCTAATTCTGAGCATTTGGCATGTGGGAACCCGGAAAAAAATAACTGGGTTATCTGCCTTGAGGCATTGGGGAGATGACAGATCCACACTGAAACAGCCTTTTACTGTCAGGGCCTGCTCAGGGAAAAACCAGCTTTGTTGATTTCTGCCAGAATCTGCTATGCTTTGAGAAAAGCATTCAGGTAGGAGTTCCAAGCCTAATTTTTAATTTTATCTTTACAGCTAATGAGCTTGTGACTCAGGACAGGTTTTAAAGTCTCCTGATCAGTTTTCTGACTTTTTCATGTTTTCTTGAGGTCCAAATGAACTAGTTCCAAATTAATATAAACTGTAAAGTATTGGAAAACTGTAAGGTAATATTACAGGTTGTTTTTATATGAGGATTATAATTACATTCTCATAAAGCAACGTGACTATCTGCTAGGGGCAGGCACCATGTTTTATTTATCTTTGCCTCTCAAGGATGCTTCCGGCACAACAAATGTTTCTTGAGTGAATGAATAAAAACAAGAGATTTTCAAAAGAGTTTTGGAGGTCCACATGTCACCAGAGAAGACCCCACGGAAGGAAAAGCCATCCACAGTACCTGCTTCAACCACGTGGTCCATCGTTGGAAACCTTTTGTACACAGCTGTGCTGACCGAGCGGAAGATGAGCAGGGACGTGAGATTCACGTAGCGCATCAGAGTCCTTCTGAGCAGGCGCCCGTGCTGGTCACTCCCATGGACACTGCTGGAGATGAGGAACATCAACCTGTCCGGCCAGGGAAGATTCACAAACTGGTTCCACCATCGGTTTACTACCAGAGTAACGTAAAATCCTGCATAACAGAGGACATTATAAAGAAAATTCTTGTTATAGACACACTGGTGACACTGATCTTTTTCTTTTAGCAGCGTTTTAGCCTTTATAAGAGTGGGACACTATAAAAATATATTATTATCCATACCTTAAGCTTTTGTCTTTCAGAAAGAAAATAATCGTTTGTGCCTGGTATTGACAAGCATCCAGTAAGTGGGTTTTAGAACTCAAATATTAACTAAAAAACGGAGAGTTAGTGAAGACAAACGTAACTGTCCAATAGCACGCTATTATCTCAAACTTGTTTGGTGTTAATTCAGCAAAAGCAACCCTGAAGGCAAAAACTTTATGGTTGATTCTGTTCTATTGCAAGCGACGGCTTTTCAGGCATGCCTTCCAGCTCGGAAACACTCCCATGCAGAGTCACGGGTGCCACCCTAACGGAGACAGCTGTGTGGCTGCATACTGTGCGTGACCTGTACTTACCAAGCACAAACGTTACTGGAATTTGTTCAGCATATCTGTCACAGTAAATTGATAATTTTTCAAAGTAAGTTTTTTGGGCTCCTGTAAGAAACAATCTGAAGCAAAAATAAAATGCACAGCCCTTTATAATATTATACTTCTGCACCTGCATTGCAAGTGACATAAGTGCAAACAATGAAGCACAAATAATGTGTTTTTTGAGGACCAATAACTTTTTCCTTTCTCCAAAAGCTGATGTGCCTTAAAAGCTTTGTACTTGCTGAATGTTTCAAGTACTGAACTTTTTGCATATGAATGTTACTGACCATTACAGTGGTACATTAGTTCACAAACTTAATTTGTTCTATGATTTTGGAAAAGAAAGCCACATTTGTGTTCATGTGGGAAAGATAGCTGCGGTTGTGTTTGTTAGGTGTTTGTTGCCAACAAAAGCAAAATCTTGCCAAATGCTTTGGTTTATGAACAAATAAAACTATTTGTGAACTGAAGTACCATTGTAGTGGGATTCATTAGTCATTTTAATTTCAAACTTTATATTCTTAAAGTTTGTATAATTGTTTCACTGGATTTGGAACAAAATCCAGTTATAGAATAATCTATTTTTAGTTATTAGTAATACTAATAAATGAGAGTATTAATTAAATGTCACAGTTGAGTCATTATTAAATAATGACATTTGACATCTTGACTTTACTTGCTCCCAGATATACTGTTTAGCACATTTGGTTTATACATGTTGTACTTCAAGAGATATTATAATTATTCAAAACCCTATAGTTATTTGAAATATAAATAAAACAAATTTCACAACTAAAGGTGAAAATTTTTATTTTTACATTTAGTCACTGTCTCAAAATGTTTATTATGGATCTGACTCAAACTATCCAAGCCCATTTTCTGGTATTATTAAATAAAATTGCGTTTCATGAGGCCATCATTGATATTTGTGTTGGAGGGTAAGATTCAGAGTCAGAAGTGATGTCCAAAGACAGGTTAATAATAATGATCAACATACGGAAAGAAAAGCCACGCATATGAATTTGCAGAAATCAATGAATGTAGCTGTTTCAAAGATGGAAGCTGCTGAGGAAAGATCCATTATAAGGAGCATTAAAGGCCCCTTTGGTGAGTAGACTTTTGCTAATGGAAGCAGAGGGACAATGAGGTAACAGTGAGAAATCAATCATATTGCAGGTGGGGTCCTGTTGGGAGCTAGCAAAAAATGTTTGGTGTACATGGTGGGCGTGAGGTTCCTGCCCTAGCTCTGGAGGAGGTGTCAGTTACTAAAGTTAAGAAAGCTGACAAAAGAGAGGCACAACTTCTTACACAGGCCTAGTAGGGTCATGTTGATGGCAGGGGCACAATCAAAAGGGTTTTCTAATATGTAAATCAAAATAACCAAAGAAGATTTAATGTGTAAAGCATAGATCTTAGGTTTAGGACAAGCCAGATTTTAAACTCAGGTCTGCCTCTTACTGGTTTGGACTGTGAACATATTTTTAAATCTCTTTGAACCTCATTTTTTTTTTCATTTGTTAGTGGGTATAATAATATCTATATAGCAAGGTTGTCATAAGAATTAAAGGATTAATAATATATGTATGAAATGATATTATGGCCTCATATTTTGTAATAAAATGGTTGGTATTATTACTAGTTGGCTAAAGAAAAATATTTAGATAAGAGACACATATAAATGAGTTAGAAACTACTAAAGAGATTATTTTGTCCAGTTTCTTTAAAAATAGGAAGAGGCATAATTAATTTAATGAATTATTGTTCTACCTTATGATTTTTGCTAACTATAATTATTTGCTTAAGATAGGATTAATAAAAATTCAGGTCATTAGTAGACACGGGAATAAAATTATGTTTATATTTTTCCACAGGTATATTTGACTTTTTTAAACAAATTCATTCTACAGTTCTTGATAAACCTTTGATTAAGATAAAAAGGATCTACTTTAACAAGATTTTACAACTGAACTTTTTAAAATGCAGTATTATTTGAAATGATGGTTTTTGTGGTAAGCACTGTTTGGCCTTTGGAAAAAATATAAGCATATAATTTTGGTGGGGAAGGTTAGAAATAGGATATTGGAGTAAAAGTTGAGATCTCAAGGAGCACTTGTGGCTACTTCAGAACTTCTCTAAAGGGTATTCTATTCTAAGAAGCAGTGGCAGCAATAAACTCACATTAATAAAAATAAACTAATGAGATAATTGTCTTGGAACGTCATTGTGTCTTCCACCATTTCATATTCTGAAGGCATAGGTGACATAAATAAGTTGTGTCAAATTATATAAGACATATTTGAAAAATTATTAGTGGATTTTAAGAAAGATATTTGGCCTTTAAACACATTTTGCCAAAATGTGCATCAATATGTATATTTGTTTGGCATGGCAGTGTTGATACATAGGAAAATAGTTCTTTTTGTTTTATTTTTTATCATTATCAGCCAGCTAAATTAGTATCTCTTGTCTCCAAATGGAGTCCTGTTGCTACAAGGAAGAATGTAGGTAAAAGCAATGATATGCAAATTGGTTCAGCTGTATACAGAAGAAAAATAAACTGATGCACATAGAAAAGGTATAAATACAGCCTCAAAAACCTTTAGTTGTTCTGTTTTAAGTTTTAGCGTCCTCTAGAGAAGAAATGCAAACATTCACTTTCTAACAGAAAAAAATTCTTTCCTTTTATCATACTGATAAAATTTTATTAAGACTATAGTTTTTAGTTGTAGAAGTATTTCTTGGACATGGTACTGTTCAAATTTTCTGTCAATCTGACAGGCATAGGTTGTGAATATACCTCCTTTTCTGAACATAATGTCCCAAAATCAGAAAATAGAAAGAAGTAAATTAGCCATTAGACCTTAATTCCTTACTCGAGGCTCTGGTAAGGTTGGAGAGCACCATCCTGGATAAGTGGTCAAACTTCCAGCCAGGGGAAGGTAAGTTGTCTGATACCTACCATTCGTGAACATAAGTACTTACATAGTTACAACCCCTGTCAAATCACAAATTCAAACCGTGTATGACATTTGGAGAAGTACAAATAATTATTTGTTTGTGGAATTTCTCTATTCATAATTATTACATAATAAGCATCAAAGTAAAAACCATCCAACTTATGTGTATTATAATTCCTTGGTGCACGAATAGTATCTCCTCGTGATCAGTTAACATGGGGCTAGAATGAGAGCCCTTTGGGCCTAAGAGTTACAGTCAATTTAATATCCTATAGAATGGTTAGGTGTGGATTAAAACACCTCATTCTGCAGAGAAGACAACAGACAGTTCATGCAATGGTAGAAGTAACCTAATGCAAAAGTCAGCAGCAACCAAAGGGTTCCAGATTTTTGAGACTGTATTCTTACATACTATTTGATGGCCGTTTAAGGAGACATGCAAAGCAAAGTACCTGTACACCAAACTTATTGCTGTGTAAAGAACAGCAAAAACAATAAATTCCCTGTATAGTAGTTTGTAGATGCTGCCTCTCCACTTGAGGAGTAACCTATGAAATCCAAAAAAAGTCGCATTTGCTACTTTACTGGAGTAAGTGACAGTCATCTTGGATAGTTTTTTTCTAGAAGAGTAAGAAGACAAAACACAAGTAAAAAATCATGCTTAAAATAGAGCATAAATAAATCTGTACAGCAAAGGAAACCCAAGCCGGTAACCAATGAACCATCTCCTTTCTCTATACACTTGCAACTTGGGGGTAATCATCTCCATGCTAGAGCTCTTAGCAGAGAAAGGAAAGGACAGGAATTGCTGGGATGAGTGATATTAGTAAACTTAAAACTGCTTGAATAACTAAATGTTGTTTTAGACTGAATAGCCACTGCTCAATAAATACTTCAATAAATGAGACATAAATATATATTGCTATGTCACCTATCACATGTTTTCTTAATTTAGGGTATTGATATGCTACATTTATTGATATTTTCAAGAGCAGTGTCCAGTGTCCAAACAAGCTAGAGTGTTGCTATCACCTTTAATATTCCTAAGGGGAAGTTGTGGCTTTCATCCTAAAAAGTGGGTATTGTTGGAAAGAAGCCAGGCCCTCATGAGAATCTAACTGTGGGTTACTGTTGGGGTTTATAGCTGTATGCAGGTGTCTCTGTAGAGGTGCTCTTGGTGAAGAGATGCACTCTGTGTCCTTCAAGAGGCAGTCTAAATATTGGCAACAGTGATATTTTTAAAAGTGCATTTTTTAAATGAAAAGTCTCATTATAATGCTTACAGATTGACTTTATGATTGGAACCGAGTAAGATGAGATTATTTCTTAGGTCTTTCTACTTGGATCTGTTCCGTGGATGTGGATCGGATAAGAATGGCATCCTAAAGCTTAGTTTTTGGTTAGTTTTTTTGAAATTTTACTGCTTTTCCCTGAGGTGCTCAAGAGTCAGTGTTTGATATAGATGGCTCAGTGCTAAACTTTGAATGAAAATCCTGTTCTACTATTGACTAACATGGACCATATGAAGATAAAATAAGATGCTTCTGAAATGCTGGTTTCTACGAAGGGTCTGTGAGGAAAGTCTTACAGTACTACTTTGAGATCATGCAACTTTTAGGTAGAATTGTTGTAGACATAAAAAATAAATTCTGTATCAGATTTCTCATAAAGTAACATATATTGCACATTTTGTGATACATAAGAAAATTTTGTCTTTATTCATACCCAGAAAAACAATCCAACTCCAATTTAGCCACTTTATTTAAGGAAATGAAGCCCTGGGATTTTAATTCATAGCACTTTTTTTAAAATCACAAACTCAGTCTCCAATATTACTGATGTTAATAAAGAAACCAGGGCCTTTTGGCATAGGCAAACGGTATTACGAAAGAATGGGACTCAAGCCACAGACCAGTTTCATTTTTCTGTCTTTACGTTGTCTATTTGTTTAATATGAGTCAACACCGGGACAGGAGCATAATAAATTAAACCCATTTCATAATTTGTTCTCAGAAGCACGGCAGTTTTAAATAACAGTCCTCAACTTTCTTTCATTTAATTACTCACCTTTCTGGTAGCCTCTGTCAGAAATACTAGCATTACATAGAGTAGAGGTCAGCGTTAAATTCCAAACATTTACTGTGTGCACTAACCTATTATTTGGAGTCTCCGAAAGCAAAGAAAATCCTCCAATGTTAGGTTCCCCTTGAAGAGGTGCCTGCAGGTCGTTACACTCTTGGTTTCACACTTCGTTCATGGACAGTCAGATTTTCTTTCTGCTCTCTGGCTACTGTGTGGACCCAGCGCGTTACAAGCACGGGAATTGAATGTTTTTCCACTTGTGCAGGCCTGTTTATGCCAGTTTGCCCACTGGTGACAGTTATAGCTGGGAACAAACAGAAGCGACAGCTGCTGATGTTGCTTTTTTCTGATCTATAATTATAACTCCACCTGCCACTCAAAGTACCCCTTTGAATGAGGAGTCGGTGGTGACATAAAGGATGTTGGGCCATTTAAATCTGTTAGATTCATTTCCGTTTCATCCTGGGATCAAGGAAGAAAGGCCCATTTTCCCCTAAAGAATTCTGAAGAGATCCCACTTGCCAAAGAAGGGAATCAGGCCACTCTTTTTATGATTGAAATGAAGAATATATTTTTATGAAGCTGTAAGCTGGGGCAGACAAGAATATAAACAGGATTTTCATTCATTTGAGAGGTATTAAGAATGCTTTTCCATTAAAACAACAAACTATGTGTTTTATGTGTGCATATGTATTTTATATACAGAATTATGACTTGTAACAGCTCAGTGTAGGGGGAAACAGTAGTGTACCGATTTGTAATACATTTATTAACTTTTCTATGGTTAGCTAGAAAATTTTAAATTATTCACAATGTTTTTTCTTAGATTGATTATACCCACACATTTTCCTTTTTGAAGGAAATTTCATTTGTAATATTTTAAAAAATGGAATTATTTAAAAGTGGAATTATTAATTTAAAGGCTCATACTTGGGAGATTTCCAGTTTTCTGAAGTAATTTTGTGTACCAGTCATTGTGAGCTTAAAGAAAATGACTTCAGATAAACTTACATTTTTGTGGAGAAAGAGAATAAAATGTTTATTCTAAAATCAAGAATACTTATAATTAAATATTTTCTAAAATGTTCTTAAATTTTATATATGGCTGGCTATAAATACCTTAGAGCAAAGACGGAGTTGCAGGTGGCTTTAATTTTTTACATAGTTTCACCATGGAGCCCTGTAAATAATGGGTATTTAATGTTTATTTGCTGCTTGGTTATTACCATATCTTCATTATTATACCTCTGTTGGATGTCTCTGGGAGTTTTGGAACATTTGAAAAGCATATATGCAATGTGCTTCATATCTTATACTTGGGTTGTCATGAAAAATGATTGAGTAGATCTGATGTTGTAAAAGTTTTCAAGACTGACCAGTGCTATAGAATTTGAGCAAATCTAAACATAAGTGCTTATGAAGTAGAAACATTGAGGACATTTACAAAATTCCCTCTCCTAATCTTCTATCTAATGTGTAACGGCTCTGAAAGTTGGCGTGGTTTCCTGACTGTATAACTAGGAGAACAGCCTTCCCGTGACTTGTGTCTGGATGTCTCCCTCAAAGCCTAATGCAGGTGGAGCTTTCTCAAGGCTGGATCTAGAATGTGTGATGCTGGGATTGATTCATGGTACATTGCTAGGATCAAGGGCTAAGAGTGTGAGTGGCCTAAGAAGCCTGCATAATACGTGAGGTATAGAAAGACCTGTGGCCGTCCTGTGCTTGTTGCTTTGCTACCTTCCATGTGCCATGAAGTTTTTATCCACTGTGATGTCATCTACCATGCCACCCTTCCCTAGAGTCAGCTGATTACACACTGAAACCTCTACAAACTGTGAGCTAATAAACCTTTTGTCCTTTAACTCAGGTATTTTGACTCAGCCAGAAGAAAAGTAACTAAGATATGCCCCTTTTGTGTGGCACTGTTAGTACTGTTGGTCAGTGTCATTTTTTTTTTTTTGTACCGTATGTTGACAGGTTTTCTTTTCTGGGACAAAATACTTGACATTTGCAGTTTAAAGGAGGACAGGTTTACTTTAGCTCATAGTTTAAGAGGTTTCACTCGTTGGCTGACACCAAGGCAGAAGCATCATGCCAGGAGAGTATGCTGGACAAAAGCTGCTCAAATGATGCCATCCAGAAGGCAGAGAGATCCAGAGAAAAGTGGCCAGGGACCATGGGCAGTCCCCGTGGTCATGCCCCATGATTCACTTCCTCCAACTAGACAGCCAACTCTAGCCCATCCAGCTGTGAACTTATCAATGGATGAGATTTGTGCCCTCACAATGCTAGACCTTCTCCAGGAGAGTCTTAATCCAGTCAAAAGTACAATCAAGATTTGCCAGCACTTGTGACATGGGGAGCCATGGCAACTTGATGTTTTATTTGATCCTGCAAATAGGAACAATTTTGTGGCCAAAATGAATGCAAAGTAAAAGCACAAATAAAGTTCATGTTCTCATAAAAAGCAAGTAGTTGAAATCAATATGATTAGCTGATGCTCAGCTTTTCTGCTAACATGTGCTCTTGGCACACACTCATATTGCAATGTGCTGATTCTCTCTAGAAAAAAGAAAGTAGTGCCAAAGGGTGAGGAAGATTTATAGAGTAAAACACACAGAGAGGCCATTAATTATTCTTATTCTTTTTTCACAGCAGAATTCCTTGCTTCAGTTGATTTGAGAAGTACTCAAATTGATCTTTTATCTTATTGTAAATTTTTTCTGGCACAGTTAGATGGTGAGAATTGAGAATTCATGTGATGCCCTTGGGCTTTTCCTAATTACTGACTGTCAGCTGTATGATAACAGCTGGTTGGGATTATGCAGATGTGTGGAGGGTTCTTTCTTTCTGTCTTTCTTTCTTTTTTTAGATGCTGTACCTGGCCTCAGAAGTTTGTACTACAATATGTCTTTGGACATAGACATCTGTCAAAATCAAGTCAAAAGGGAAACCTCGTCTATTAATTTTCTCTTTTTGATTTTAGGAGAGAAATGACCAATGGCAAAGAGACTAAAAAAACACTGAGTTTTATTACAACTGAAGTTCTCTTTTTCTTTTCTCTCTCTCTCCTTCTTTCTCTCTCTCTCTCTTTCTTTCTTTCTTTCTTTTTTTCATCTTTTTGAGGCGGGGTCTCACTATGCAGTTCAGGCTGGTCTTGAGCTCACTTTGTAGCCCATGTCAGTCTTGAACTCGCAACAATTCTCCTGCCTTAGCCTCTACAGTGCTGGGATTATAAGTGTGCATCACCATGCCTGGCTACAGCTGCAGTTCCTAAGACATAGGAAATTAGATATTTGAGGAGTCCTCATTACTCTCCTTGAATAGTTTCCAATTCAACAAAACAGAAATGCATTAGTTCAAATTCTGAAAGCTATTCTTTTCTAATGGAAGCTATGAAAACTTTATTCTATTTTAAAGATAGAAGCTTAGAGTCTAGAGAATTATTATTATGGTCCAAAAGCGTACTGAAAATGAATCCTGTACTGTATAATCAATGACATTTCTTAAATGGAGCATACCACTCAGGTCAAATACATTCTGGATTACTAAAGAAAAAATTACAGTATAGAACTGATTATAAATCTGTCCAGTTTCATGAAAAGCATGCAAAAATCCAAATATATTGTTGATTCCAAGCTGCTGTGAAATTCTGTTACTTAAACAACAATGGTAGTGGGCTGGGGATTTGGCTCAGCAATTTAAGTGCCTGCCTGACAAGCGTGAGGTTGTGAGTTCAATCCCGAGTAACAACAGCAGCAGCAAGAACAACAAAACCCCCCAAAAAACAACAATGGTAGAAGGTAATAGAAATATTACTCCAAACATAGAGGGAAGACATAGGCACACAGGAAAAATTTATGCATACATATGTGGATGATTTTATACCTTTTTATGTGGTGAAATGTATGTGGCAATGAAAAAGACTTGTTGATCCTGGTTCTCTAATCTGGCAGACTGAACATTCTCAGACATCTTTTTAGTTTTGTATCCCATAGTAACTCCTGAACAGTGGTACTGCTGAGGACAGTAAAGGGTTTGGGGTAAGAGAGTGAAGGAGAGACTTCAGATTTGTTTCATATAGTTTTATATTTTAAAAGTAACACTTGTCTTTTCATAGTCATATGCAAACACCACTTCCAACTTATACCTCCACCCCAAATCTTTCACCATCTCAATTCCACATCTCAAACTCAGTTTAGCCCAAATTTAAATCCTGATTTTTTCCCCAAAATATGCACCACCTCCAACTCTTCCCAAATTGTTTTCAAAAACATTTTTTCAGGGATTAAGGAAGTTGAGAATGGTGAGCTGTCTTTAATTCTTCTCCTTTTCTAGGAAAAAGATTTCATCTATATTGGTAAATGACAGGAAGGAGATGGATAGGAAGCTCCAGTATGGTGGAATTGTCTGGGAAGATGTCACTATCTCTGAATGGGAGAAGAAAGAGAGAAATCATTGGAACCCAGAGGGGTCAGATAAATGAAGAAAATGTCAGGTATGGGCATGATATCATTAGACACTGGAGAGCTGTTAAAAGTTGGTCCACTCAGACTCACTTTCTGCCTTTCAAGCTCTTGCCACAAGCACTACTGACTGCACCCAACCAGAAGCTAGAGGTAAGAAATCCCAGTTATGCATTTGAACCCACCCACCTGATGTGGCCCAGTGCAGAACGAGAAGGCTGGAAAGTGGATCTGAAAGAATAAAGGAAAGCAACCTGCTCCTTCCATTTTGCAAATGAGACGAATAAGTCTCAGTGAGATTCTAATATTTATTCAAGGTCACAATGAAAGGCAATTTGGTGGAGCTGACAACTCACTGGTTGGCAATTTGGAAGATAGATTGTAGTTTAGAGTAGGTCATTTGGGGTAAGTTTCAGTTTACACAGGCACAAGAGAAGGGAAGAGGTGGGCACTGAGAGAAGAGAGGCAAAGGGAATATTTTCCAATTGGTGTACACATACCTATGAGCATACGCAGGACTTTCCAGATTCACCATTTCCTTATATATACCTTCTCCTGTAATTAATGTTTTTTACACTTAAGAATTGTTCTTTTTCCAGTCAACAAGAAAAAGCATGATCCTCATTCATCTTATACAGAGGAAGGTGTAAAATTTGTAGAGCATCAAACAAAGGAACATTTTGAAAATGCAAGCTCTTGAGGCAGTTTTCTGTAAGAGCACACCAGACAGCTTCCATGAAGAACTACTGATAGACACAAATGTTTACCTGTACATAGCATTTCTGAGAAGGGTCTGAATCTCATGAATGAACATTTCACATTT